CCTAATCCACCTCACTGTCCACTCATCTATCCCACACTTCCGGAGCTTGCCCAGGAGGATGTTGTGAGGGACAGTGTCAGAAGCCTTGGTGAAGTCAAGATAGACGACATCCACCGCTCTCCCCTCGTCTACCCAGCCGGTCATTCCATCATAGAAGGCTATCAGGTTAGTCAGGCAAGATTTCCCCTTGGTGAATCCATTCTGAGGACTCTTGAGCACCTTCTTGTCCTCCATGTGCCTGGAGACAACAGCCCGTATGAGCCGTTCCATCACTTTTCTGGGGATGGAGGTGAAGCTCACTGGCCTGTAGTTGCCTGGGTCCTCCTTCTTGCCTTTTTTGAAGACAGGCGTGACATTGGCCTTCTTCCAGTCCTCCCGCACCTCCCCTGTTCTCCAGGATCTTTCAAAGATGATGGAGAGCAGCTTAGCTATGACATCCCCCAGCTCATGTAGAACTCTGGAGTGCATCCCATCAGGGCCCATGGATTTGTGGTTATCGAGTTGCCTTAGAGCACTGCTCTCTGATCCAAAAAAATCATCTACATCCTATGTCTTGGATAGGTCATTTTTAGGGCTACTAAGAGAGGATAGGATCAAAAGGAAAGATCACCATGAGGGACTTAATTAGAGCACACATTATAAAAACCCTGAAGGCTGCCTATAGCTGAAAGCGTATTTAGAGTGACAAGCTCAGACTTACATGCCTTGTGCTTCAACAATCGTAAATAATATTTAATTATCATAATTAAATAGAAGCTACTAAACAAAATAAAACCTGAATTTATTTTTCTCCTTGAAGTAGAAAAGAATTAGTAAAATGATGAGCAGCAAATCAAAAAAAAATGAATGCAAACCAGAAGTATTTAACATCTCATCCTTCTACTCCTAAAACACTGGCTTTAATAGCATTCAGCAGAAACTGGGTCGCAAAATCCAGTTTCTGAAATTCTTAAGTTTCTGACCCTCTTTCTACGGCTATTTGACTAGCATATGTGATGCTCACAACAGAGATCTGGAAAGAACATGACATAAAAATGTCATAAAGTGCTAATTGCTTCAGCATATAGAAAAATTTCCATGGGATGCACAAATGAACATGCCATTTCCCCAATTTGTCACTCAAAACATCCTTTTCAGTAGCAGCTAAATAAAGGAGAAGATTATAAATTAAAGGCTCTGAGAGCAGATTTTTTTTGATTGTTACTTCTGCAAGAAAAAGTCACCCTGTGATTGCAAAGCATATTTCTACCAAAGCAGTACCTAAGTTTTGCTTTCTGATTATCTTACCTTTCACTTATCTGATTACCCAATACCTTATATCCTCCTCTTTGTGCCCCCTTATCTTGTTTTCCTTCTTTATATTCTTCATTACTATAATATTCTTTTCTGGTTTTCTTCCTTGGCTTTCTATCCAAACATTTTTCTGCTTCTTGCTTCTTTCTCTGTGCCACATACAGTGGATCAGGTAGTAGATAATAAAAATATGGAAACACTGCAGAATTCTATCTTGGGAACAGTCATTTTCCATCACGTCAGTGTATAACAGCCAGAATAACTGCTACTGGCATGCCACAAATACCTTAAACATACATTATGTGGAAAAAAGCAGCAGGTTGCCACTTTATTAAACACGTACAAAATAAGGCAGAGAAGACTAGTTACCATTTCATGCTCCAACAACAACCGAGAGTTTGCCATAGGGAGCTTCCTCAGCCTCATGACTTTACAACTCCTGGTGCAAAGTTTCTCTGTTGACACTCATAGCTATCCAAACACAGAGCCAGTGTACAAGCCCAGAGAGTCCCTTTAGCTGAATTGTGGTAGTGAAATACAGGTATATGAAACAAAAACTATTGCCAGATACACTGAGATACCTGAGAAAACTGAAAAACAAAAACCTAAGGTTATGTCTTCTCTGAATTGACTGCTGTCTCCTACACATATTTTGGACCTAAAATTTAGATATCCCTGAGCTTAATTATCTCTGAATTTTCTAGTTTTGTTCTCACCACAGAATTTGATTTCAGAAAAACATGGCAAAGAACAGTGATAAAGACATTTTAAATAACAGACCTCTTGTAAGAGGTCAGGAAGACAGGGCTTCTATCAACTTGAGAGATTAGTAGGTAGGAAAAGTATTAAAATTCTGGTACAAGCTTTTATTTCTTAATTCTGTGAAAGCTTTTATTTATTTATCCAATAACTGATTACCTAAAACAATTAAGCCAGGGAAAAAGGTCCCAAGCAGGTATGAGATATGTGTTAAAAAATGCTTGAGTCTGAAGCAGAACTAGAAGTCGGATCTCCATTTTTTCAAGGGACATGCTCTAACTACCACTGTGAGCAAAACGTGAGCAGTAGCATGACCACATCACTATTGCTGGAGGAAAGAGAGATCCCGCTATTATTCCTAGATCGATTTTCAGGCACTGAGTCTCTGAGGTATCTACTTCTATCTATTTTCAGCTCCAGGTACTTCCTGAGCCTGATGTAGTTTCTATTAGTAGCCAGTGGATCTCACTACTGAGTTTCCCCTTAAATCTATGTAACCCTTTTTGGCGTTCATTAGGACTTTCACAAATAACCTTTAATACATCGTTTTAATTACACAATGTAATGAAAATGCAACTGAAAGACTGTTCAAGGACAGGAGTAATTCAAGTCAGGAGTAATAAGTCAGGAGTCAGGAGTCAGGAGTAATTCAAGTTTAAATGAAAACACTCAGAGAAAGATAAATGCTAGAAGAATTGAATAAATACTAGAAGAGTTTTACGCACTGTAGACTCTATTGCACTTAGAGTTTCCAGAATAAATTTTATCAAGATTTTTTTTTCCGTAGGAATAAATTCATTACATCATTTTTATATACCTTGATTCTGTAATGTATGCATTGATATATAACCAATACTACATAAAATAAAAACTACGCAGTATAAGTTTAAAGGTTGAGCACTGTTACGAGTTCTGAGCACACAAAAAATATTCTGTCATCTATGGAAATAAAATCAAATTTCTATAATAAAATTTATATTTATATACAAAACAACATTTTTTTCAATTTCCAAGTAAAATTACAGATATCAATAGTACTTTCAAAAGACAGAGCAAAACACTGAATATATTCCATTGTTCTCAAAATATTTTTAAAACAAAGACTGTTATGTTAATTGAACTGTAAAAATCCAATAGCCAACTTTTCTACTGGTGTATAAAAAGAAACCATAACAAGAAATCCAGTAACTATGAATTATTTAAGAATCTATATTTACCCACGCACTGGAATATTCATATTTCTTGCTGCTTTAACAACTTCTTCAAATTTGTCTATGCTTTCTTCAATTGAACAATTAATATTCATTTTGCTAAAAGATTCAGATGCTGCACCAAATACTGAGACTTCTGTAGCCCCTGATGCAATCTGAAAGATATATTTCAATAAAACAGAAGAGTAATAATATATTAAATGATTAAACTGTGCTTAATTTTGTAAGCTATTCTAGAGTTTTAGTTTTAAGTACATTATAAGTCTCACACATAAGTAAAGTATAAATGCAAATTAAATTCTGACTGTTCTTTAATCTATTTGAATGCTAGGAGATTGAAACTAATTTTATAAATTCATCTCACTGGCATATTTTCTTCTTGTCAATTGAATAAGCAGACATTTTAAATGATATATGTACATACTAAGTTGTAGGAAATGATATAAAATCTGACTATAAAAATAACAGAGATGGACATTAACATTTCATTTTTTCAGAAAAGAAGGAAATTATATAAATACTGTGAAATATCCACCCTCTCTATGAATAGGAGGAAATCACTCTAATACATAGGACAAGCTCTATGACCTACACATATTCAGATGGACAACAGTATCTGCTTCTGCAGAATAACATTTAAACTTCAGCAGCTCTGACAAGAACAAAAATATTTTCCAAGGGAAGAGAAAAATAAATATCAACAAAAAAGAACTTAGGACTCACAACTCCTCTACTTTCACCAAATAAGATATAAAGGAGATATAATTCAACTCAACCAACTACCATTGCAGCTTAAGTGTAGTAGTATAAATCTGACTTGCTGTAGTTAAAACTCCTTTGTACATAGGTCACATATGCAGTATAAAAACTGACTCAGAGTAAGCTATAAAGGTCCAAAAAGGACTATACATTCCGAATGGCTTCCTAGATCCAAACAAAGTATAGAAAGCATAAAAACTCTTCAGAAAATGAAAAATACTCTTAAATAGCAAAATATACTGCTTTAAGACTGAAATGCTCTTTTTTGTAAGTTTAAACTCACAAAAAGTTTCTGTTATTTTGAGTATGTCTTGTATGAACTGAAACATTTAACAGTTTTCAAACTTTACTAAGGTGGGTTGGAATTTTTTTAAAAATTAATACAGACCTATGAAGTATTTTCATTCAAATGTCTCGCTACTTTCCAATAAAACCCCTTACATCAGAAACTTCTCTAGGACTAATAAGTCAAAGAAGGAAAAGAAATTTTCTTCCTCTGTTTATACAAGCACCAGTCATAACATTTTGCAAAGACTCATTGATACTGCTATTAATATATGAACATACATAATTTAATGTCATTCTGCAAATATTGCTCAGTTCTAACAGAACAGTGTATATGATACTAAAGAAGGAGGTTTTGGTACTGAACTGATAGTATCTGAAATATAAAAGCACCAATTGGTGACATCTTACAGCAGAATGAAAACCTTGAAGATTAGGCGTGAGAACAGGATATTGGACTCCAGGATACCGCTCAATGCCTCTCATTACTTCTTTGTGATCTGCCATCTAGAATAGATAAATATTTTGTATTGATTATCAGTTATTTTCTCATTTTGTAAAGCAGAAATTATCTTACACAGTACTTTTGTCTTGATTAGGTATATAGTTTGCAAAAAAGTATAACAGTAAAGAAGTTAAATAGAGGTTGTTAAATGATCCATTTTTTACATTTCTTAACTTTTGAATACTTGTGGTGCAAACTTTCTAATTCTATATTATCTTGAAACTGGAGATAAGATTTCTCTTGTGTTTCTTTTGTACCTGTAAAAAACACTATTGTAATGTGCATTGAGTAATTATGATCAAGGAGATCACTGCAATTCCAAAGCTAATTCAACAGACTCAACCAGTAGAATGAACAGAATAATGAAAATTCCAATACCATCAAAATGTCAAAATTTTCCCAAAAATTCACCCTGACTGAAAAGAGCTAAAAAAGACTTTACAGTCTTAAATGTCACGGAACCTGAATTATATTCAATGCAATAATCAGTGTGTCTGAAAAGACTAATCACAACAAAACTATTCTTAAAAAAATAGTAAAACATAGTTCTACATACAGTATCACTTTTAATCTATTTAGAATTTTATTTTAAATACAAAAAAAATTGTTTTGTTAGAGGAAATAAAATGTTATAAACAGGTCAAGAAAATTACTTTCCTCAAGCATTTGTTTTCATTCACAGTATTTAACTGTACAATCTGCATTCCTTTGAAGAGAAATTATCTATTTAAGATATGCTCGTCTCACTCATGATTAAATATAGTTCTGTATACTAATCAAAAAGATTAATCAGAAACTCATTCATGTAATAAACGACAGATTATTCAGACCAGCAGAAAAATTGAAAATAAGTGTAGGAAAAATGAGTTTATGTTTTAATAGTACCCCTTTCTGGAAACAATAAAATTAATAAAGCATATACCTCATATTTTGTGTCTCTAAAGGTCTGAGTTTAAAAAAAAATAATGTGCTTTCTGTGCTGTCAATTTAGGACTACCTTAGTAAGAGACATAACAACAAAGCTTTGGATACACATTATTTACAATGGAGGCACTGACAGCTTCACAGTACCACAATTGTAAATATATTTATATAAATATATATTATTATTAAATTATATCATACTATTAAGTGACAATACTATTGGCATCCTGGAATCTTCATGTCACTGTCTTTCTATTATGAAAATAGATGTATTTAAAAATCATAAAAAGACATGCATATCAAACATACGTATGTACACAATTATTTTCTCATCAAGAATAAACTGGTGACATAAGGCATTTTTTTTAATTGTTTCTATGTAAAGTAAATCAGTGTGACCACCTACCATATGTGATAATCTCACGGAAATACATTCTATCATGCCTTATTTTTTAAAAACATTTTTTTTATTCCTTAATCAAACAGAAACAGTATCTACATTTCTCAAGAACCGGGAAAATACTTGAAACCAAATGATTAATTAAATGGCAAATGTTGGAACTAATTCCACACTTTAAAATTATAGTCTGACTTAGAATATACTAGAAAACCAAAACGACAGCATTTCAAACAGCATAAAGCTGCCAGGTCCAAGTAATATTTTAAGTATTACATTTGTCCCATTGCTATTTTTCCTGTAAGAAAAAACTTATTTTAACACATATTGCATGTTATAAGTTCTTAAATTGTAATAAAATATTTTTTTTCCAAATTTCTTTTAAAATAAGCTTTTAATAGTAGGTAGTTATAATTTTTGGCCACTTAGGTTATAGGTGTGGGATCCTGTTTTATATGGCACCTTGCTACCGTGGAACTTTTCCTTTTAGCTTTTTTCGGCAATAAAATTTCTGCCAAAAGAAACACTGGGTGGGAAACCATAAAAGAGCCTTAAAATACTAAAAAAAGAAGTAAGTGAATGAGTGATCTAAACTTAACCAGGAATTCTATTCCCATGACCTACGAAAAGAAAAAAAGAAAGGAGCACAGAAAAGACAAAGTCAAGACTGCACTCCCTATCAAAGCAACACAGTCTTATCATTTAAATAAAAAACATTTTAAACACAAATTAAACCATGAAAATAAAGTACTCAGACTTGAATTTAAGATAAGAAGAGATTCTTATTTTTTTTTCCAAAACTGACAAACCAAAGCTAAATCTGGTACTCCTAAGGGCTCACAGGAAAAGCAAATAATTAAGCAAAGAAAGAAGAAATCGACTTTTGCTTTCCACTTTTCATTTGCATATTTAAAAATCCTACATTATTCTCTGTTGCTGTAACTGCCAAGGTGTGATGGTTCTTGGAAGAAACCTAGCCTAAGCACTTCTAATGGAAATAATCTCAAAGTACATTATTGTGGGGTTGAACAGAGAAGTTTGGCATTGTTTATGTTTTTTTTTTATTCTTTCATTTTACCCTTTCTTTGGGCTTCTCCTTGGTGGTCTCAGAAATACTGAAATAAATTGAGTGTGCATGAGAAAGTGCTGTACAGCCAGCCTGCTCTCTTAGCTGTTGAGCAAGGTAAGGTACAAGCCATCCACCAGTGCTGGGCAAAGGTGCATTCTCAGCTTAAAATGGATAAAACTTTTATACATTTTGACAGAAGACAATAAAAAATATTTTATATTAATTAATTTCAAGTTTTATTTCTTAAATAAGATGAGTAGTCCTTACTAAATATACAAACTCAAATGTTTCTGTGTCTGCAAAGTGTGTAACTCCCTAAAAATTAGTTTATATGCTATAAACAAGGATTGACTTAATTCTTTACCTGCAGGCGATAATCAAGTTTTCACAAACAGGAGTTACGTAGTATACTTCAGGACTAGGCCTGAATTTTCAGTATTAAATCTCAAATAAAAACCTGGCACCTCTATTGGCAACAGAGCTTTGGTGCTGGCTACAAAAAAAAAAAAGTTGGGATTTCTGTTGAAGTGCAGTAAAAATAGAAATTAATTCTGGAAAAGTAATGAGCAAATTATTACAATTCACCAAAACCCTATAGGGCCACTGATAGAGTGCTAGATCTATAAAACAACTCGGGTGCCTAACTGCAGCTGCATATGCTAAAGTCCCAAATTTAGAGCTTCCAAATACATTCCCCAATGTGGAAAACTGGATTTCATTTAGGGGAAAGTAAAGAATTATGTGACTTTTCTGTTTTACATCAATGTTTATTAGTTCTCAGAAGAGTAGGAAATAGGTAGAAACAACTTTAAGTTATGTTAATGATCTATCACCTCAGATCTCTAGTCTTTTAGCTCTTTGGTTTTTTTAGTTACAGTTAATCAAATATTTAAATAAACAAAGTACAAAATAAAACACGGAAGTACTCCCCTTGTCTCTACTCCACACTGCAACATAGGACTCAGCATAAAGAATTTTCTATGTATTAGTGATTACTGTGAAAAATCTCTGCCTCTTTCAGAGCACATTCAAAATTCATACATAATCTGTAATCCTGCTCCTTCAATTGGAATCCTCCTCATGCAAGTGCACATGTGTCTGTATGTGTGCAAATGTTTATAATGGTGGCATTGGGGAAAGGAGAACATCATGGATAGGTATAAGAAAATCACAGATGTTGGTAGGGATGTCTGAAGACCACCTGGTCCTAGCCTCCTGCTCAAACCAGGTCAGCTAGAGCAGGGTGCCCAGAATTGTGTTCAGTCAGGTTCTGAACACCTCCAGGAAGCGAGGCTCCAAAACCTCTTCGGGCAACATGTTTTGGTGTTCAATGTACCAAACACAGCAGATATACTTGAGGAAACTGATGTTTGTGTTCAGGGAAGTGTCAAGCTGCCATGATGCTCTTCACACCCTCTAGGCCTGAAGAATCTATTCCTTTCACCAGGGAGCACTGCTGTGAAGTATCCCTTATTTGCACTAACTCCACACACCCACCTCTCCCTTTTCTAATTGCAGGTTCTGAATTAGTGTTGCTCCCACAGGAGGTGTCCTCCATTATGAATATTCCACAGAGATCATGCCCCACAGAGATCATGCCCACTGCAGTTCATCCAGACACACAAATCCAGGGCTCTATACTCTGACATCTTCATCTTCTCAAGTCTTTGTCACTATGTCTACACTCAGAATCCTATAATCCAGTTACTCCATACTCCACCGTCCCCACACCTCTTATCCAAACCCAGTGTCCTGAAATCCAATTCCCACGTTCTCCCTTTATTGTTATCCCTTGCACATCCACATACAAGCACATTCCTCACCTGCTTCCATAGCCTCGTGCTGCTAAAGGAAAACCTAGAATCACCTTCAAACATATTTATGTTTGGAAAGTGAAGATCACATCCATAATTTCTCACATGCCATGTAGAAATCATTCTAAGTCATACTCCTACTATTCCTGTTTATCAGAACCCAGTTCCCCTCCTAAAGGCTTTAGCTGCCTGCACTGAAGTCCAGTTCATTGATAAGATGAGAGCAGTTTGAGAAGCCTCAGCCAGCTTTGTATCCTCTCAAGAAAAAGTCAGAAGTTTCAGCTGACAGGTGATTCACTGACAGCTCTGTTAAGAAGCGTGCTTTTTCACTCAGAAGCAACTCATAAGCCGGACTCTCATGCTCCCACCTTCCTGAGAAATGCAGCAGTGCATTGCAGCCAAGCTCATTCTTGGCTGTGCATCCTCTTGATTGTACCTCTGTTGACTGACTTTGTGTCAGAGACTTGTCTTCCTTGACCTCGGATCTGCCTCATCACTCAACTTCTCTGAAGATCTGCATGTTTGGCTTCCCTGGCTACCTTCACCAGACCTGCTCTGTTCTTGGGTGGGACTGCCCTTTGTCAGCGAGGCCTCAATCTCTGCTCACCTTGTTATTGTTGGCTCCCAGCTCCCCATTCTTTGTGCAGCCACCAGCTGCTCCCCAGCTCTACTGACTAGATTTAACCAGCTTCCCGCCTAGCTTCTGACTTTTCCTAAAAACGATTTTTTGACACTGTGTTTATATGCACTGCAGATGACCCCACAGGCATGTAAATCAGGACTGTGGTAACATTAAATGGCAGAACACCTTGCAAGTGGAAATGCCTGTGTTCCAACAAATCCTTCAATAGACAGATGAAGGTATCAAAGGTTCTTTCAGTTTTAAAACTTTATCAATATTCAAAAGAACTTGACAAAATGTCCAGGAAAAAAGAAGTACCTGTGCTGCAGTATCTTGGTATTTTCACTAAAATATAACTTGTGGAACAAAGAGATACATAGATAAAGGTATGTATATTCTTCTACATCTTACTTCTTCTTAATAATTTGCACCCCTTCACTGGACTTGCATAAAACTGTAAAACTTTAAAACTGTGAAAATCTTACCAAAAGAAAAAAAAAAAGATTACTGCTGTCCCATATTCCTGCATAGTGAAGCAGGCAAAAGTATTAGAAAACTTCATTACATGGGATAGCCTTTAAACTTAAATAGTTCTCATGGTGATGATTTTACATACCTGAGGAACCCACTTGGATGAAACAAAACTAGTCACTTCTATTGCAGGCAGACCTGTTTTAGAAAGCCGGTTGATTAACTCAATTTTGATATCAGTTGGGACTATGACCTATGGACATGGAAATATAGTAAAGTATTTAATGTAGCAAGATATTTCTGGAGGAGAAATGTTCTTAGCACATAACACATTATTTAAAGTCACAAAAGAACGTGAAAAATCTTCTATGCAATTGCATATAAATTTGGACTCGCTGATTCTTAGTAACCAAATATGAGCATATTGAAGAAGTGACAAAGGAAATCATAACCCAGCCAAAGGAAGAAGAAAATAAAAAAGATGAACAGAGGCAGATGCAGATGAGGCAGAGAGAGTAAATCTCCTATTCTATTAATACTAATAATACCGTTAATACCTTTGTCATCAGTAACAACAACATACGTAAACTTAATCTATTTGTAGTATTTATAAATAAATATCCAAATATAGTACATAATGAATTAAAATGATATTTCTATTTTGCATACAGGGTATAACACATTCTGGTAAACAAAAAGTAGAGAAAAAGATTACCTTTTCATTTTGCAAGCCATCCCTTGGTCCAACTTCTACTATCTTCACATATTCAGGCAGTCCGGGCGTTTTAGATTCCTTAAACAAAAATCACTCAATGAGCACAAAACACTGAGGGTCTCTAAGATCAAAGATACAACGTGTACATGTCTTCTTATATGATTCTGGGTATGAAGTCATTATATCAACAGTAAATTTGCTCACTGTCCTTAAAATTCTGTGAGAACATGTTCTGCACCTTGAACTAGGGAATAAAATCTGAAAGCAGAAGTTATCTGCATGAATGCTCCATTGCTTCTCTGAGGCCACAAATGTTTATTATACAAAAGTATATAAAGCTATAAATGAGCACTGTGTTTTACAAAGTGAGAAATAAGTCCCATTTCAAAAAACTTCCAAACAAACGATGCTGTCCTCCAGCTTTTACTGAATGTTCTCAATTTGTGGAGCAGTTACTTGTGTGTAAATGTTTGCAAGGCAAGGCTATAAATCTGAGCGGAGCACAGCAATCAAGAAATGCTGAAGAGATTATTAATGAAAGACAAAAGTAATCCCTCTGCTTGAAGATGAAGAAACCGAGGAAACCTGGTAGACAAGAAGAATTTTCCAGGTGTAAAAGCTGATTTGGAAAGGTAGGAGATTTGGGGTGAAAGGAGGGAAGGAAGGCAGCAGCAAGGTCACAGGGCTAAAGAGAGCACAGGGAGCTAGAGGCAGGGGAAGGGAAAACAAGAGCAGAAAATGAGTCATTGTTTGGCTGGTCTGTTTCTGAATCGAGCTGGCAGGTGTGGCAGTCAAACTAACCTGGGCTTTTATGTTGGTTCAGAGTAGCTGCTCATATTGACAAAAGCTGTGTTGTTTAAAGACAAATTGAATGGCAAACTTTGGGCATCCTGACAGGGCCTATTGCAGTAGCAGGGACATGTCCAAGCAGCCCCAGCAGGAGCTCGAGGGACACCGATTCCTGCAGTGAGATGAACACAGTATCCAAGGCCGTGTCTCCATCCCAATATTTCAAGTCCTTGATGGGATTAGTGCTAGCTACTTGAGAGACTGCTGCTCCCTCTCCAACCATGACCTCCCCTGACAGCTCAATTTCCCTGGACAATGAAACTGTCAGCTGGGAGGGAAAGGCGCCGGGAGCAGGAGCCAGAGCTTTCACAAAAACCAGGCGCAGACTCAAGAAGTCATTTCTTCGGTGTGTAAATAGGACCACTAATCTCACAACATTCACATTTTTCATCCCTTCCTTACTAGCATTGTCAGTATAGTTTCAACCAAAGGGCTGACGGTTTCTCCTCACAGCAATGGAAAGCAAGCCGTCTGCACCATACTTCTACAGCACCTTTGGTTCACTCCCCTCTACACACCTATTTCACTGCCCTGGATAAAAGTAAGATCTCTACAGTAACAGTCACAATACCAGCTAAAGTATAATAAACATATTTCAGAGCATTTACTGTACATTTATCTAGGCACAGTAAAAAGAATGGGAAACAGCTGTATAGTATCTTTTGCATCACGTGGAACATCTGGTAAATGAAAAATTTGTCAGGCCGTGCTAAGCCCACACTCACTGACAGCTTAAACCCACTTAAACGTGGAGGTAAAACTTTCACATCTGCTGCATATTGTTACTTTTTCAAAAAAAAAGTTATTTTTGTGAATATGGCACAGTCTCAGCACTAGGGGCATAAATCTGGGCTATTTCATGATTATCAGACCCTTCTTGTTACAAGACAAATGTCACAGCTGTGCTATGAATAAAGCTGTGATTGAAAATAAAATGGATTATGTGAAGCAAAGCTTAATTTAGTGCAGGAAGAATGTCCATAACACTTTGGTGGCAAAATGTTTAATTTCTAGGCCAAATCATGTAAATCCCATTCAGTTTCTGCTGTGGTAAGGCTTCTGCTGAAATCAAGGGCTAGCTATGTCTTTACAGATGGTTTAAACACCTGTATCAGGTGTCACTTCAGTAGACATTCACATAACCTTTTAAGAGGATGGCTGGAGTTGCTGGATTTCACAAAGATTAGAAATTTGGAATGGACACTGCTGAAAGGCAATGAGTATTGACTTTTATACAACAGCATTGATTTTTAGTTCCCATTTGTGATATAACAGGTGTATAACCTCACTGAGCCAAAGCCCAGGCCTCTCATAAGACAGGGTCTTCGTCCTTGCAGCCCTTCTGCCCTCTAATCCCACCTTGAATTCACCATTCTCAAACACGACACTGAAAAGCGTGTACAGGGTGACTCACAAGAACCACCAAGCAGAAATGCAAAGCCCTATTACAGACAAATCCTTACTTCTTACCAGCTCAGAGTGGACTTCTTGGCTCTTAGCCCTCAAGTATCTTGCTTTGCACTGAATTTAACCTCCTTGCTCTTGCCTTCATGGCTACTCAGTTCCTCCTCCGTGGTATCCAGTGTGCTACTAACCATCTTTCTGTCTTCCTGTCGTCCGCAAATTTTTACCACCTTAGTATTCCATGGGGAGAATATTTGGACTAACGTGATTATTTTCACACAAACATGTATTATTTCCATAAATTTGGTCTAGTACTATTGAAGAAACATGTTAAGCAAAAAGATCTGAGGAACTCCACCAGCAAAGTCCCTTCAGCCTAATAAATCTGCTTTTAACATTATCTCATTTCCAGCTTCTTATTTACCTCACAATTCGTGTGCCCATCCTCCTCCTCTCCAGTTTAACTAATAACTTCTGTTGTGCTGTACTGATGAAGCTTAGATAAAAAGCAAGAAAAAGGGCTGCAGAATACTTAGATTCAGTCCCGTGTGTGCTATTTATGCATTTTACAATACATAATCATTGGGGGAAAAAATCAGAAATAAATCAGATACTGTATCTCTATATGCTGTTTTCTGCTAAAATTGACTAGCTTTTTTCTCATTCTGTGGCTCAAGCTCAGTAAGAGTAGGAATGAAGTATCTCTTCACCCTGATCTCGCCTGTCCCATGTAAGGTAGCAGTTAGCAGGGTAGAAATTAGGACATTCTTCCAGGAAGTTTGGAGACTTAATAGGATTTTCAGGAAGGAAATCAGAACAGACTTCCTGCTTTTTTGGAAGGGCTTCTGATCCTGGAGCCACACTTGCAGAGAACTTCAACACCATTTAAAAACATAGCTGAAGAAATGACCAGTCCATTTTCATACTGGACCCAGTGCCACTCATAGTCCTAAAGCAAACTCCGAACGCACGGAACAGATTGGAGTCTTAGTGAACTTACGAAAAGTTTAAGCTCTTCTTTACTATCTGGATGGTCTAGACCTTAACCAGGACTCAGACGACCAGGATCAAGATACCTGGTCCCCCTAACTAACTGGACCATTCAAAGGTACAACCATTTGAAGTAAAAAAAAGAAGAATTTTCAGAACCAACAATGAGACACACTAGGAGAATTTTAGGTACCTTCAATTGTAACACTAAACAGTCCACAGAAAATAAACAGAAAACGAAAACTAGTTTGTATATTTTAAGAGAATCCTCCCCCCTCCCTCCAAAAAAGTGAATGTTACAGAAATGCACATGTATTCATTACACAAGTATATATTTCACTAAACATGTCATGAAAATCTTTCCTGTTTCAGGAAAAATATTGAATAAAATTACTTTACAAAATGTATTTTCATGTAATAAGTATAAAAAGTAGCTTTTGTAGATATTTAGAGGTGACTGCTTATTGAATTATATACTGGCTCTGTTGAAAAGAAATGACTACCAAAGTACAATGTTTGGAATATCGAAAAGGAAATAGTTGACATAAAAGACTAAGGGCCTGGAAAATTTGTTTTTTCCATGTATCAAACCTTGCCAAGGGATAACAAAAAGCATATAAAACCACAAAAAAACTGCCTTCCTCAGAATTCAGCCAAAGATTCTTAAAAAAAAAAAAAAAGGAAAGAAAGAAAAAAGAAATAGGAAAGCCATACTATTTAGCTTCAGATATTGTATGCCAAATTTCTGTACGGAAACATTTTCCCTGAGTTATAAATAGCTGAAAATAGACGTCTTACAGAAAACCCTATTAACCCGTAATTAGAGCAGCAAAAGCTTCTTAGTATAGCCATAAATGCAATCAAATTAAATAAACTTACTTTCTTACACTTTGTCACTGCTTCAGAACTTTTAGTAAAGCTGCTGATATTCCTCCAGCTTTCTGACTTTCATTCCATGCAGCTCATCCTTACGGACACTGACAAACAGCCCCAGAGCTTTTCAAAGGTAACTAAAGGAACCCAAAAGTAAGGGAGAAGAATTTTCAGTCTTTCTAGCCAAGCAAAGATGAAGCTTTGCTTTCCACTTCCACAAGGTGGTGTCCTGGCATAGAAGACAACTGTGCGAAGGTAGATAGATGGATAGATCCATCTTGTAAAAGGAAGAGATGTGTCTGAGAAGGGTTTTAAACTAGGATTACCAGGGAGGTGGCATTGTAACTCCATCTGTGCATGTGCAGTGACATGGACAAATGCCTAAAAACTGGAAGAAGGAATAATATAGTTGCTGGAAGGAAAACGAAGAAACAATGGTCTATCTTCTGAACGCTCTTCTAAAGTTTACAAGACAGGGAGGAAATAGAAAGAAATTAAAATGTTAGTATATAATAATATTTGAAGTGGAATTGCACAGATCTGTTTATACAGTTCACAGTAGGAAGACAGGTATCAAAGACACTCCTTTCTAAGTAAATTAGGGGAAAAAGGAGATTCACCAGTGAGATGTAAGAAAGATAAACTGATACTCAGAAAATCGTTGGACACAGACCTAATGACTGTTCCTAGACAAAGATAAATGGGAGGAAGACTGAGGAAATATAGAGAGGAAAACTCTTCTGTTGATAGCTTACTATACCAAATCAGAATAAGCAGATAAATGCAAGAATTTAAGGGTGATAGAGCCTCCTTAACTGGAGAAGGAGGAATCTTCTATTGTATTTCAGATTGAAGAGAGAGGACACAAACTGCAAAAATATCCTGGACACAACTTTTTAACACAGTGGATAAAGCAATTTCAGGGATCTCTTGAGACAGCAAAATGCAGCTTCTGCCCATC